ATATATATATATTGAGCAATTAAAAAGTAATTACAAAATTATTGCTTCAAAATTTGAAAAAAATTCATTAAAATTGAGCAAGATATAACTATTTAAAATAGTTCTTTTATACTGCACACGCGCGATAAATATTTCAAGAAAAAAATTTATAATTTTGTAGTGAATCGAATTTGGAAACAAATAAAAAAAGTCTGATTTGAATATCTTAAGAATTTAAGTAGTTTTTGTACTTTTTAAAAGAAAGTTCAGAATGATGTGGGGTTTTCACAAATTTTATTTTGCATTATTAAACAAGATTTATTAAAAAGGGCGCCGGCATTGGGCGGGGTCTTCCCCCGTAATAATATTTTTTTCTTTTGCCTGTTTTCTTTCCTTATACCACAACAGTTGGTGTCCGGACGATTACTGAAAGGCAGTGTTTCCCAAACTTATGACTTTTGTGTACCCTTTCTAAATTTTTCGTATCGCTGTGTATCACTAATAAAAAAATGAATGTATTTTTTACTATAAAACAATTGCACAAAAGTTAAAAATCATAACTGGCTGTTGACAGACACCACTAATTATTAACTGTTAACTCTGCAAAATATAGTCAATAGAAAAATGCATAATCGTAAATTTTCATGGCTAGCTTTGTTTTTAAATAAAAGTTTTTGAAATTTTCGTTTGTTGCAAGATGTTTCGCATAAGAACGTGTACCCCCGCTAAACTGTTCCCGTACCATTGGGGGTACGCGTATCACACTTTGGGAAACACTGCTGTAAGGTACCATTTTATTATTAAATTTTGTCTCATAGTACGAAATGAAACCTGTGGAAAATCCCTTCTCATTTTGAGTTTTTTTTAAAAAAAAGAAGAAGTGCAAAATCTACTTAAAAAATTGCTTGAAGCTCTTTAAATATTCAAATCAGACTTTTTCATAAGTTGCGAAATACGATTCACAGCACAATTCTGAAAAGTTTTTTTTAAATTTTTCTGCTCATGCGAGGTATAAAATAATTATTTTAAATTGTGATATCTTGTTCAGTTTGTAACATTTTTTTCCAAATTTTAAAGCAATTTTGTAATTAGTTTTTAATTGCTCCAAAAAATTTGTTTAATTTTAATAAATATTTTTAAAGCTTCTGTTTTGTTTCTAAAGTTGTGACTTAAAAAAAAGTTTTTTTTTGCAAAAAAGAAAAACAAACATTTTGTAAAAATGTCCATATCTTCATAAATATTTAAGTTAGATTTATGAAATTTTATAGTTATTGCAAGTAATAACCAAAGTAATCGGTACAACTTACAACTTTATTGCTCGATTTTCTGGTATATGGTGTGCAAAAAGATATTTTAATTCGCAATTTATTGTCCGTGAATAAAACCTCTGAAAGCTTTGAACTTTATTGCTAAGTATGAAAAATCGCACGAACTAATAAACTCTAAAATTTGGAAATAATTATCTTAGAATTTCTTGTGAAATATTAGAAAAATGTTAAAAACTGAAAGTGTCTCTTCTATTACAGTAGGGTAGTGTATGTTCAAGAAGTTTTTCACTCTTTACTCCACCTGAACTGGAAAAAAAACCTATCAAACAAGTGAAAAAGGTGGGAAAAGAGTCCCATCAAAAGGAAGCTTATTCTGATTGAAACCAAAAATATCAAACTTACTTTTTCTCTCTTGGTGGTAGGTAGGTACTTTATTCACGTTGCACTAGAGCTGCACAATGGGCTATTGGCGAAGGTCAGGGAAACATTCCTGGGAGGACGATACGAAGACAGGACATCGAAATTTTGATCCTCTGCAGAGGATTGCTCTCCTGCTTTGGTAGCCCGACGACCTGCACGCGAAGTCGAGCACTTTACGGTAGAACAGTTTAATGGGGACGCTTCCGCGCTCCCTCTCTTGCTAGGCAGTCTGATCAAAGTCAGTGGCGTACGCAGAATTTTTTCATAATTTTCAGAAATTACTAAAAGAAATTCGAGTATGTAATAAAGCACTATTACTTCCCTAATTTAGACAGCTAGACAATTTTGACTTTTTATTTCGACAACATTGTTTAGTTAAATTTTGTTTTTATTTTTTAAGTTTAAGAATATATTTTTTTTTATAATAAGAGTTAAAATATTTTATTTTTATTAAAAAG